ATCTTCTGCCGTCAGACGCAAGCATACCAATCAGCTTTCGTCGCTCACAATTTCCCGTGAAGCTTTGCTTTGCTATGTCCATTAATAAATCACAAGGACAGACGCTTAGCATCGCAGGTCTGCATTTACGTGAGCAGTGATTTTCTCACGGCCAACTTTACGTTGGGTTCTCACGAGTTGGGTCTAAGGACAGGGTTTTCATTTACTCTCCCAACAACTGTGCTAGAAACATAACCTACACGGATGTCCTGTAGACAACCTGCCAGGTAGCGTTTAAGCGCCATGCACACATATGCACTCCGATTGCATGGCAATTTTTTTGTTTGTCATATTGGTTTTAACGTTAGGTCGTCGTAGTCTCCACTTGCCATTACTAAGACATCTTTGTAAAGGTTATCCGGCTCCTGACTTTCATACCTTCACTCGCCATCATCACGTTTGTTTGTGCACTATGATAACCTCACCGTATTCAGTTGCAACACAAGCTGATAGACACATGAACACCGGCATTAGATATGATTGCTCCACTAAAGTTCCGGTTTCATTAACAGTTGATCGGAGCACCTGCAGTTCGTACCAGTGCACTTCTCCCTTGCAATTACGATGCTCGGCCTTACGGCTACCCGCGTTGCGGTTTTAAGGGCTCTCAGCCGCGATGTAGATAGTGACAGATCAGAATAAAGGAAGTCATGTCACAGAAATTTTCTTACCATGACACCCCGTCACTTTTCGCTCTTCTCTCGGTTTAACGGTTCTGCTTTGTGGTCGTGGCAGCGCCGTCTTTTGGGCATAAGACGCGTCTTTTAGTTAGACAAGCGGTTTGTTTGTGATTGCGCACGGCACACACTTTATGTCTATGGCTTCCTCACGGCACGTTTTCCCTTCAATCCCTATATATGTTGCAACTGAATCGTTTCTTGACTACTTAACACAAGTGCTTCCAGTAATGCTTAACGGTCCAATTGGTTAAAGCAGTAACTGCTGACAGCTTTTACTCACAGATGTCTTAGTAATGGCAAATGACTAATGCTACAACGGCTTTCCGTTACTTCCTTCGACACCTTCGAATACTTGGGCCTGCATGATGTCTGCTTAAGCTTTGTGTGCATTGCATTTCAACGTTTTGTAGAAACTTAGTTCCTGTCGATTTACAAAGCACATTTTTAAAGCAACAGCCGTCCCCAACTCTTACTGTTACATTCTCGGGCAACGCCGGGTTCTACTGCTAGTTGGTTGATATTTTAAAATAGTTTACTTCACAATTAACAGATGCGGATCTCAGTGTCGCACTTACCGTCTGCGCTTAAAGTGGCAAATTCGAGGATTATTCCTTGCATTTTGTCAAGGATCTAAATAAGAACAAGACTACAAATTGCAGAAATATTCCATGCCTCGACAAATGGTAGATTTACAAATGTGCAAAATAGATACAATTACGTTTTTAACTGAGAAACATAAATAATAATAATAATAATGATAACCGCCCAGACATTCTTACAAGACACCGTAAACAAAAAACAGTGCCATCTCGTTGATATGGCAGTCCCTGCTGACTGCAATGTATCTTTGAAAATTTTCAAAAAGCTGTCAAAATACAAGGACCTGGAAATGGAAATCTCGAAAATGTGGCACATGGGAACATCAACAATCCCTGTTGTAGTTGGAGCCTTTGGATTGGTGGGAAAAGATTCCAGTAAATTTATGGAAGGAATTCCTGGTAACCCATTCCTTAAAGAAATACAAAAAAATGTTCTCACGAGTACAGCCAACATCTTACGATGATTTTTATGTAAAATATTTTTTTTTTATTGTTTTTTTTTTTTTAATAGGTCAGTGGAAAATGTCATGATGCCATTTTTAACCTTAGGTCTCTGGGCGGGACCCAGGAAAGAAATGTGTACACACCAGAAATCAAAGGACATAAAATAATAATAATAATAATAATCTACGACAAGTTTTACAGAATAATGAGATTACCATCCTCTGGAATTTCATCGTTCAGACTGATAGGGTAATACTGCCAAATAGACCAGACATAATTGTGAAAAATTATGTCTGATAGATGCTGCAGCGCCAGCCGACAAAAAACATATTTTAAATTTGAGGGTTTAAGTACATACAAGGGCCTCGAAATAGAAATCAGTAGAATGTGGCATCTCAAGGCACAAACATTACCTGTCGTTATTGGAGCTTTGTGAATAATATTAAAAGGAGCGAAAAAAAGCATGTGTATCAAATTCCTGGTAGCTCTAAAATATGTGAACTGCAAAAAAATCACTCATGGGTCCTTTTCACATCTTGTACATATTTCTTACCACGGAGTTCTGCAATTACATATTTTTTTCACTCTTATTGCATGTCACCTGATCTGTTTGAGTCTTCGATACTCAAATTGATATCTCTTGAAGTTTCAGCTTGAGACGTGGGAGTAAGTAGCCCATACCTTAAAAAATACAAAAATTTGTACTTACAAGTTCAGGTCACACATTACGAAGAAATTTATCTATGTAAAATGTGTGTGATCTAACTTTATATTTTTTTACAAAAATGACCAGTGGAAAATATCATGAAGCCATTTCTGACCATGGGTCTCTGGTTGGGACCCGGAAGGAAAGGTGTATTGTAGCATACCTACGGACGATAATGGGTATGTTCCCATTCACATAAATACAGTAGTAAATAGTATTGGGTCGGCAGTTGGAGATTCGCCTCCAGCTGTGCTGGTCAAAGTCTCTGCCTCCGGGCAGAGAGGATCCCCAGACGAGCAGAGTTTCGTCTCGGCAAACAGCTACCCGACCCCATTTAATACGGGATGTACGGTAATTTTTGGCCGAGCCTATGGACTCGGATACCCCACATTAAATTCAGCCTTGTGTCACATCTAACTGCGTGGGGTAGTTGGTAGATATCCTGCAGCTGGAGATTCATTGTGGAATTCACATCTCACTTCTAGCAGTTGACTACTACTTCTACGCGCCGCTGGCGAATCTTATATGTGTTGTTCATGCCCTAAGTATTATCGTTCATTTGACTCACAAGGCTTGGGTCAACCCGTGGTATGGTTTTCAGACACTTTCCAAACATGCCGCACGCTGGAATCGACGGAACCTTTGGACCGGTCGATAGCTGTGCTAGCTCAAATCACAAGTCATCGTGGCCGAGATCGTGAGCGTTCTGGCCTTGTTCAAATTGTTGATCACGCTAGATAACACGCCCTTTCCCAGAAACTGTAACTAAGGTCTGCTAAGCATAGTTGCAGCATAAACCACAAGTGGGATCTGTGGGAGCAAGCGTCTGCAACAGTGATTGGCTATCCACCCTAGCAGACAGGTATCTTCGAATACGAGTGGCCAGACATACATACATTCATTATCGTTCATTACCAACCTCCGTGCGATTATTCTATTCCGTAACCTTCCCTAGAAATCCAAGGAAATAATAATAATAATAATAATAATGTATAATAATAATAATATATAATAATAATAATTTATAATAATAATAATAATTTACATTGGTGCCTATTTAGGAAGTATGGACTAGAAGTCATACGAATATTATACCGCCAAAAACCAGAGAAAGTGATCGAAAACGTCCAAGACAAGATCTTATGAGATTTCAACATCCAAACAGAAGGCATCCTTGAGACTACCAAACTAGACATTCCCGTCTTTGTAAAAAAAAAAAAAAAAAAAAATGCCCCTACCCCCGAAAAAAACAAATGGGAAAATGCCTCCTCGTTGATGTGGCCATTCCTGTATCAATGAAATTGAAAATCTTAAAAAGTACACTGACCTCTGGATTGAGGTTGTCAGAATGTGGAACGTTAAGGCCACTATTGCCCCAGGTAACATAGAGGCGTCGGGCTCTAGACCACCGAACCTAAAAACCTACATTAAGAAAATCGGAATAAACCCAAATAGTCCAACACTTCAGGCGTCTGCGTTGCTTGTCTCTACAAATATACTGCGAAATGTGATATCTCATTGTGTTCGTACGACTTGATGTATAATACTCATAATGCAAGGTCTCCGGTTGAAAACCGTTGATAAACGGCGCAGAATAATAATAATAATAATAATAATAATAATAATAATAATAAATATAAAACCTAGCATGACAGAGTGGGCCAATATATACACTGGAAAATCTGCAACTTCTACGGGAAAGAAACTGAAAGAAACTGGTATGAACACCACCCAGACCCGGTTACGGAGATAGGACCTGTTACAATTTTATGGGACTACACAATACACACTGACAGAACAATCAAAGTTAACCACCCAGACATTGTTATACAGACCGCAAAAAAGTACCTTCTTATTGACATGGCAGTCCTTGAAGACTGCAATGTATCTTTGAAGATACTCAAAAAGCTATCTAAATACAAGGACCTTGAAATCGAAATCTCAAAAATGTGGCACATAGGAGCATCAACAATCCCTGTTGTAGTTGTAGCACTCGGATTGGTTGGAAAAGATTCCAGTAGAATCATTGAAGGGATTCCTGGAATCCCATGTCTTAAAGAAATACAAAACATTATTCTCACGAGTACAGACCACATCTTACAAAGGGCTTTATCTATGTAAAATATGCATGTGTTTGTTTTTTTTTTTTTTTAATTGGTCAGTGGAAAATGTCATGATGCCATTTCTAACTTTAGGTCTCTGGACGGTACTCAGAAAGAAATGTGTACATACCAGAAATCAAAGGAAATAAAATAATAATAATAATAATAATAATAATGAAAGATGTTTGGCTTGGTGGTACATTTTTATGGCCTATCAAGCAACCCTTTACAGGTTATTTAAAGTCAGAAAATATTTTAGATTTTAAGAACTTTTTTAAGATAATGTTTTTAATCATATAAGTTTTACTAATTAACCCAAAGCTGGGGTGAGAAGAGGTGGATCCATACCCTTTTCCCAACGGGAATTGGAACTCGTCTCTCAGACTAACAATTCAGAGCCATTATCCATTGCACCACCCGCACACCCAAGCTTACAGCATTCTGGTATTCCCTGTCGGTTACCCATCTAGGTACTGAACAGCCTTGACGGTACTTAACTTCAGTGGTCGAACGGGAACCAATGGAATAACATGATATGGCCGTAACACTTTGAATTTGCAGTATACTTAATATCAAGAAAGAGGTGTCTTCATATGGGTGTGTTTGGCGCGTTAGAGATATGGCATGAGATACAAGGGGCGCGGTGTCGATAGCTGGAAAAAAGTGGGAACAATTGTGAATCATATGACCAAGCATCTTATTTTTTCCCACACATACGAGATACTGCTGTAAGATATTTGTCAAATATGTCCTATGAAGGTCCTAAGAACATATACAAAAACATTGACATCTATATAAATATTTTATATAAGTTAACTTTTGCTTGTGAAATCTCTTCTTCCCTCTATTTTAAAAACTCTTTTTTCGAACGATCTGTCATCTGCAGTTTTCAAGGAATCAATGCAATAAATTATTCATTGTACAGAAAACTTTTTCTTTCCCCAGTTACGTCCGATTAAAAATCAAATGCCCATTTATCTTGAGTCAACAGAAAAAAAAGCAAATAAGCGAATAAATAAATTAAAAGAAACTGCGAAAACAAGGAGAAAAGCATAAAATATACGGAAAAATAAAGCCCAAAATAGAGACGCTTGGTCTAGGTTTTTACCCGAGCTGCCTCGAGCTAAGCCCATCGACAGAACTCTTTTGTTATAGAAGAAGGGAAGTCTTAGCTGTAAGCAGTTCGTTGGCAAATAGTACATTTATCCTTGTTATTAAATGTTCATATAATTTTTTAGGGAATTTTAGCAAGAACAGATACAGATGTCCAATTATACATTTACATTGACCTCTGATTGGGTTCTCCTTAGAACTTCCCGTTAAAGAAGATAACTCAAATAAAATAATAATTTCGAAGCCTAAAGATAAACTCTTCGTATTATGTACTAACTGCACATTACAACACCAACTGTAAAGCATTATTCTTAGTTACATTATATATATATATATATATATATATATATATATATATATATATATATATATGTATAAATGTGTGTGTGTATATAAATATAAATATTATTCTTATTCATTATTCTTAGTTATACATTATATATATATATATATATATATATATGTGTGTGTGTGTGTGTGTGTGAAAGTTGGTGTATATAAATACAAATATCATTCTTATTCATTATTCTTAGTTATACATTATATATATATATAATGTATAACTATATATATATATATATATATATATATATATATATATGTGTGTGTGTGTGTGTGTGAAAAGTGTGTGTATATAAATATAAATATATATATATGTATAATTATTTATATATTATATGCGCGGTACTTATTAGAAAGCGCTCAATATCAGAGATACAGCTAACATATTATTCAGCGAAAAAATAGAAAAATGCTCTGATTGCTGACATGTACACATTCACGGGACATTCACGAGAAATTTTCGCTACACTTCCAATCTTTGAATTTCAACATACAAATGCGTATGTAATAGACACAACACCAACCATATACATACATATGTCAAATCCCAAACTGTCCGCATATATTTATATATGTATGAGTCCCGGCGGACGAGCAAGTGTGTATGTGTGTCTGCGTACCTCATCGGGTGTACGGACATGCACCTATGTTTGCGTTAGCACGATGACATCACGACGACGATTCCCCCACCCCACTCTCATAATAACACCAATACACGCAATCTACATAAACCCAAATTTTAAAAAAATTAATCAGTTTGTCTGACGATCGCAAAACCGTGAAACCCAGGGTCCCAAAACTCATCAATCCAACCAAATATATATATATATATATATATAATTAATGAATTTATTTTTAATCCGGCATTATTTTAGTATTGGAAATAGACGGTCTATTTTTATTTTTACTTCAGTGTGTATTCCGTCCGTCGATATATCCTGCAGCTGGAGATTCATTGTGAAATTCACATGACTCACTTATAGCAGTTGACTAATTGTCCTATGCGCCGCTGGCGAATCTTATATGCGCTGTTCTTGTCCTAAGTATTATCGTTCATTTCACTCACAAGACTTGGGTCAACCCGTGGTATGGTTTTCAGACACTTACGCATGCCGCACGCTGGAATCGACGGAACCCTTGGGCCGGTCAATAGCTGTGCTAGCACGAAGTCACAAGTCATCGTGGCCGAGGACTTCAGCGTGCTGGCCTTGTTCTAATTGTTGATCATGCTAGATAACACGCTCTTTCCCAGAAACTGTAACTAAGGTCTGCTCAGCATAGTTGCAGTATAAACCACAGGTGGGCTCTGAATTTCTAAAAAATTAATGGATTTATTTTTAATCCGGCATTATTATAGGGGATACTCGGTCTATTTTTATTTCAAACAGTGTGTATGAAGTCAGTCGGCCAGTGTATTCGAGACATGACAATAAAGGAAATGCGCTCTCCGGCAGCAGTCGAATCTGCGTTCACCATTTTTAGGAAAGAAAAGCACCTTTTGATCCAGTGTACCCTACCACTCGGCTACGAATAGCGTCACAGTTTAGCAAAGCACTATTTTTTTCTTATGAGGAAAGCACTCTTCCTTATTTACATATTTTGAATGGAGCCTTGCTATACTTTGACTGGCCGATTGTCTTAATACATCCTGTTGATAGTAAAAATGAAATAGGCGTTTATTTCAAATCCGAGTACCCACTATAATAACACTTGAAGTGATAAAACAAGTATCCAAATTAGATAAAGTTTGAAGTAATATATATATATATATATATATATATATATATATATGTATATGTATATAGGGAGAGAGAGAGAGAGAGAGCGAGCGAGTGGGATGGGATGGATAAATTATCGTTTAAATTACGCATAACACTACCATCTCATTTTAATAGATACATCTATCGAGATTACACAAAGTAAGTACCAAAGAGAAAATTTATTCAATAAAATCGACATTAGCTTCAATCAGGGCCTCCAGATAATTTTTGGCAACTCTTCTGGACAGTCTCCTTGTTTAAGTTGGTGAATGCTGCCATAAACTTTGCCTTCAGTTCGTATTTGTTGATACAGGGAGTTTTGTTGGTGTCTTGCCCAACTACGTCCCACACATAATAATCGAATGGGTTGCAGTCTGGTGAGTTATATGACCACATGTAAGGGTTGATATGGTCGCAGAAATTGTCTGACAGCCATGACTGGGTTCTGGTGTCTGTTTAGCATGGTGCAGAGTCTTGTTGTCAGACATAGGATCTTCCAACAGCCACCCTGTTGATTCAGGGCAGAATCACCTATACAGGGCACTTGATATAGGCCTCCATGTTGAATCTGAGACCCCGTGGGAAGATTAATGGAGGTATAACGTTGCTATGACTAGTGATCGCTGCAAACACCTTCGTAATCACAATGAAATCAGTTCACAGAACGTTCACAGTGAGTTTTCTGAGTTGCTGTAACTTCGTAATAAACATTAGACTCATCCAACTTTTTCCGAATCCCCTGCACTATCCTCAAATTGCCATACAAACATTCTGAATTGTTCGTATTGGAGTTTCCGGTGGGAATGCCAAGCAATACAGCATGCTGTTTCCAAATTTCTGGCGTAGTGAATTGCGTCATAATGCTCTGCCCAACTTAGCCAACTATGCTGTGCCGTCGACAAAATAAAAAAAATCGCTCATGTGTATTGTTTGTTTTTATTTTGTCGACCTTTACACACACACACACACACATATATATATATATATATATATATATATATATATATATATATATATATATATATATATATATATATATATATATATATATATATATATATATGTCCTGACAATGTCATCGCTCTGCCCTGGCATGTCGGTTTCATTCACTTACGATGTGGCATACCGGTTCTTTTGTGAAGTTATTTTTTTGTATGGTAATTGTTAAATTAATGGCTAAAAGTAACCATGCTGAGAGTTTTGCACTCCTCGCCTGTGGAACACTCTTCGGTCTTCTTTATTTTCAATCAATCTTCAAACTTTTCAATGCAATGTCAGTCATCTTCGGTCTCGTTTAAGCCCATTCTTTTATTGCCGTCGGTACTTCATAATGTTTATTTTCTCAAATTCTTTGAAACTTCCTCCCCCAATAGCGCCTTGCATCTTAGTGGCTATATCACCTTTCTTGGGGAGAATGATTAGCACACACACACGTGTGTGTGTGTACACGTCATAAGTGAGTGAAACCGAGATGCAGGGAAGAGCGATGACATTGTCAGGACTGATATATATATATATATATATATATATATATATATATATATATATATATATATATATATATATATATAAATTGTCGCATTTATATTATTATTTTCGCACACTTGGGTAAGTTAGGCAGAGCATTATGACGCAATTCACTACGCCAGAAATTTGGAAACAGCATTCCCGAGAATTGGTTAAAGGAGGCTTCCTAATTATAAGATGGGAAGGCGTAGTTTAAACCTGTCTCTTCTCTCTCTCTCTCTCTATATATATATATATATATATATATACATACATACATATATATATATATATATATATATATATATATATATATATATATATATATACTTATTTATTTATCTATCTATTGAATTCAGCATTCAAAATCCTGATCCGTGTTTGCTTAATCTTTAAGGAATGCAGACCTTTCTGTATTTCCTGTTCTTGTTCTTCAAATATTGTCTTTTCTTAATCTGTCTTAAACCCTGTTCTGCTATCCATTCACACAAACGCTTTCAGAAGGTTATGCGCTGTTTTCTCCTGTCCCTCTAGCCTTCAATATATCTTGTGAGTGTTAAACTTTCCAAGTCCTCTTTTCTCCTTATATGCCCTAGAAACTTCAACTGTTTCTTTCTGATGTCAAGTGTAAGTGTCCTTTTTACTTTTCTCCTAAACTTCGTCATTGCTCATATATTTAGTCGATGTTATTCTCAGCATCCTTCTGTAGTACCACATTTCCGCTGAATCATGTCTCTTCTTCATCTGAGAGGAGATTACCCAGTAATCAGTAGTATATATAGGGACTGATATTACGTAAGAGTTCAATGCTCTTTTCTTTGTT